GGGTAGTCTTCCCTTATGATAGTTCCTTTATGGTTATACTAGGAGAACCCCCCAAAACCCTATTCTAACTACTAAGGCCCCTATATTATATGTTTGGTTAGGGTTGTTTGGTTCGTTTGCGGTGATTTAGGGGGGGTTTTCGAGGTCTTTTGAACATTTCGGAAAGGTGGCGTTTTGTGTTGGGGGTGCTTGTTGGGCTTTTGGAGGCCAGTGGTTCAGGGGTTTAGGGTTTAGGGGTTTAGGGGTTAGGGGTTTAGGGGTTTAGGGGTTTAGGGGTTTAGGGGTTTAGGGGTTTAGGGGTTTAGGGGTTTAGGGGTTTAGGGGTTTAGGGGTTTAGGGGTTTAGGGGTTTAGGGGTTTAGGGGTTTAGGGGTTTAGGGGTTTAGGGGTTTAGGGGTCTAGGGGTTTAGGGGTTTAGGGGTTCTCTGTGGGTTTCAGGTAGGTCCAGCTTTGAGGCTATCGGGAATGCTGCTCTGCACTTTTTCAGCAGAACCAAGCCTTTCATCCCGACGCCAACGTGCCCTTCGCTACAGTGGAGTTAGGGTTACAGGTTTAGGGTCCTGGCTTTAGGTTTTAGGGTTTGGCCGAACTTCGAAACACTGCAGAGTCCTACACCGAGGCCGTCGTGCACCCATCACTTCCTTACATCATTGCCACACACCTGAAGCTCTCAACGTGCAGACGATGCTGAAGATGCTCTAGACAAACGCCGTCTTCTAGGCCTATAAGCCCTAAGCCAGAACCTCAAGCCCCTAGCCCTAAAACCCAAAACCCTGAACCCCAAATCTACACCCTAAACCGACACCCTCAACCCTGAACCCTAGATCCTATCCTAAAGCCCCGAAAGCCGGAGCCACAAGCCCTCTTTCGGTTTCGCTGATGGGCCAGCAGCGCACAGGATGTCGCCTCAATCCTGAACAGCTGGCTGAAGTAGAGGTGTGGGGTTGTAGGGTTAAGGGGTTTAGGGTTTGGGGTTTACAGGGTTTAGAGGGTTCATAAGGTTTATAGGGTTTATAGGAGGGTATTTTGGGTATTAGGGTTTATAAGGTTTAGGGTTCATAGGGGTTTAGGGCTTGTAAGGTTTAGGGTTTTAGGGCTATAGGGTTTAGGATTTAGGGCTTGTAAGTTTACAGGGTTTTGGGTGAAGCCATACAGGAACGTAAGTAACTAGTTAAATGCCGAAACCGTCCTGGGTGGAGAAACCTATACCACTGAACCCTCAACCCTAAACCCTCAACCCTAAACCCTAAACCCTAAACTTTAAATCCTACACCCCAACGCCTAAACCCTAGTTCAACCCGAAACGCTGGATCACTGAACCCTAAACCCTAAACCCTCAACCCTAAACCCTAAACCCTAAACCTCTCAGGAGAGCTCCGCCTCGCGATGAGCGGACGTGGAAGGCGCGGGCTCGATGCCTGTAAGTGCAAGAGGCTCAGATAGGTTCCGAGGGTTTAGGGTTTGGGGTTTAGGGTTTAGGGTTTGGGTTTTAGGGTTTGGGGTTTAGGGTTTGGGATGTCCCCCCTTTTTCTAGCAGTCCTTGATCGGGTATCATAGTACCCCCTGTTGTAATCCCGATGAAAGACTGTTAGTATAAGGGGGACCATCTCAAGGTTTAGAATTTCAGGGGTTAGGCTCGTTTTTAGAAGGCCCGTAGGCGTCATGTCCAGCAGGCCAGGGGAGGTGTCACAGATCAGAAGAAGGGGGTTGAGTTTTATTTTTTTTCGGGGGGGGAGGGGGGGGGGGGGGGGGTGGCGATGGATTTGCGCTTGTTGTTGAGTCTTTTTTTGTTTTGGGAGCTTCCGAAAGTTAGCGGTACCTGCTTGGGAGGTTTCGTCGCGTTTTGGGGGGTATCGAATGGGTCAAAGCCCAAAGGGGGAGAGAGATCGATATCTCCGGGCACCTGCAGGGTCCTTGTAGGACCTCCTGCAATTCTGTGTAGTTCCCCTATCTACCCTTTATAAGGCTTACATACCTCTTGAGAGGCCTTCGAAAATTCCCCCTTTCAAAGTGTCTTCAACTTTTTGGGGGCCCCTGCAGGTTTGACTGCTTTATGCCCTGTTCTTTCGGAAGGTCTTCCGGGTTGCTGGTACTACGTGCTGCAGGCTAACCCCAACCCGAAGCCGCACCTGCAGATCCCATGGCCGAATGCTTGCAAGCTGCCCCCTAATCTATAGTCTCCTTTGAAACTGTTTATTTTGATGTATGCAAAATCACAGGGCAACCTGAAACAACCTGTGTCTGTGGCGTTTCTAGGGGAGGTGGTATGGTGACATCGTATCTTGGGAAAGCCAGCGTGTTGGCTTAGAGATGTTTTTCTGGGGGTGAGGGTGGGGGGGGGGGGGGGGGGGGGGGGTCGGCTTACGCTGATGACAGGATCCCAGTCGCCGCGCGACACTTCCGAAACCCGTTAACCCTAAACGCCAAGCCGCTATGCCCTATAGACCCCAAGCCCTAGACCCTAAACCCGAAGCCATTTGCCAGGATGACAGAAATGACAGAGACCGGCGGGACGATCGGGACCGAGACAGGCCCCAACCCCTAAACCCCAAACCCTAAACCCTAAACCCCAAAACCCTAAACCCTAAACCCTAAAGCGCTCAGGAGCTGAAGTCCGAAACCCCTCAGCTACTAAGGCCCCAAAGGCCCCCAAAGGCCCGAACACCCCGAAAACCCTCAATGCCCTCTAAAAGCTTGCCTAAATCCTAAACCCTAAGCCCTAAACCCTAAAAACCCTAAAAACCCTAAAAACCCTAAAAACCCTAAAAACCCTAAAAAACCTAAAAAACCCTAAAAACCCTAAAAACCCTAAACCCTCAACCAGGGAGGGCTTAAGGATTTACAACTCAGGGGCTTGGCCTTTTGGGGATTTGGAGGGTTTTTGGGTTTCGGGCGCTTACTAGGGCAACCTCCGAAGCCAAACTCATGTAGGGGTTTGGGGGACATAGCTTGCACCT